GTTGTTAATGAGTCTTCTTCCAATCCTGATACCACGTTCTTCTTCATATAGTCCAGCTTCTTGGATTATTTACTTAGCATATAGATTAAGTAAGTATGGTGAAAGGATACAACCCTGACACACTCCTTTCTTGATTTTAAACCATGCCATGTCCCCTTGTTCTGTTCAAATGACAGCCACCTAGTCTATGTACAGGTTCCTCATGAGTACAATTAAGTGTTCTGGAATTCCCATTCTTCTTAATGTTACCCATAATTTGTTATGATCCACACAATCAAATGCCTTTGCATAGTCAATAAAACACAAGTAAACATCTTTCTGGTATTCTTTGCTTTGAGTCAAGATCCATCTGACATCAGCAATGATATCCCTTGTTCCACGTCGTCTTCTGAATCCAGCTTGCATTTCTGGAAGTTCTCTGCCGATATATTGCAGTAACCATTTCTGAATTATCTTCAGTAAGATTTTACTTGCATGTGATATTAATACTATTGTTCGATAATTTCCAAATTCTGTGGGATCACCTCTCTTTGGAATGGGTACAAATATGGATCTCTTCCAGTCAGTTGGCCAGGTAGCTGTCTACCAAATCTCTTGGCATAACCGAGTGAGTGCCTCCAGTGGGGCATCGGTTTGTTGAAACATCTCAGTGGGTATTCCGTCAATTCCTGGAGCCTTGTTCTTTACCAATTCCTTCAGTGCAGCTTCGACTTCTTCCTTCAATACCATTAGTTGTTGATCAAATGCCACCTCCTCAAATGGATGAAGATCGACCAGATCTTTTCTGTACAATGACTCTGTGTATTCCTTCCATCTTCTTTTAATACTTCCCTCATCATTCAGTATTTCGTCCATAGAATCTTTCAATATTGCAATGTGAGGCTTAAATTTTTTCCGCAATTCTTTCAGCTTGAGAAATGCTGAGTGTGTTCCTCCCTTTTAGTTTTCTAACTCCATGTCTTTGCACATTTCATTATAGTAATTGGCTTTGTCTGCTCGAGCTGCTCTTTGAAATCTTCTGTTCAGCTCTGTTATCTTGTCATTTCTTCCATTTGCTTTAACTACTCTCTGCTCAAGGATAAGTCTCAGAGTCTATTCTGACATCCATTTTGCTTTTTTCTTCCTTTCTCATCTTTTTAATGACCTCTTGCTTTCTTCATGGATGATGTTCTTGATGTCTTCCCATAATTCTTCTGGTTTTGGGTCATTGGTGTTCAATGCATCAAATCTATTCCTTAGATGGTCTCTAAATTAAGGAGGAATATATTTAAAGTCATATTTTGGCTCTCGTGGACTTGTTTTAATTGTCTTCAATTTCAAGTTGAATTTCCATATGTGTTGATGGTCTGTTCCACAATCAGCTCCTGGCCTTGTTTTGGCTGAAGATATTGAACTTTTTCATTGCCTCTTTCCACAGATGTAGTCAATCTGATTCCCGTGTACTCCATCTGGTGATGTCCATGTGTATAGTTGCTGTTTGTGTTGCTGAAAAATGGTATTTGCAATGAATAAGTCGTTGGTCTTGCAAAATTCTATCATGTGGTCTCCAGCATTATTTCTATCATCAAGGCCACAATTATATGCAGTGTGGGCTGCATATAATGACTTCCTTCCAAAGTCTACCATTTGGAAAAGGGAGACAAAGAGTAACTTTATAGTGCAGAAGCCTCACAAACATGACCTCAGCCAGGTGATCAAAGTCAGTATCAACAGAAATAAGTCACATTGACACTACAAGCCCTTGGTATGATGTAATGAGAATGGTACTTCCTCTTCATTGTCTTTCTCCCCCAAACACCCCACCAGGTCTGATCAGGAGAAAAATCCCAACTGAGGATATCCTACAAAATACCTGCCAAGGACTGCTCAAGTAGCCCTGGTGATGCAGTGGTTAAGGCACTCAACTGCTAACCCAAAGTCGGTGGTTCAAACCCACCAACTGCCCTATGAGAAATATGCGGAAAATGGCTTCTGTAATGATTACAGCCTTGAAAACCCAGTGGGGCAGTATTACTCAGTCCTATAGGGTCACCATGAGTTGGAATTGACTCGACAGCAGTAGCGGTAGTACTCCTCAAAACTTAAAATTGATTAAAAACAAGGAAAGCCTGAAAAACTGTCATAGCCAAGAGGAGCATAACAACACATGACAACTAAATGTGGTGTATCCTGGATGGAATCCTGGGACAGAAAAAAAAAAAAAAAAGGATATTAGGTAAAAGCTAAGGACGTTTGAATGAAACATGGACTTTAATTATAATGTATCAGTATAGGTTCATTCATTGTCACAAATGTCCCTAACCACGTGAGATGGTGGTAATAGGGGAAACTGGGCGTATGGTATATGAGAACTCTCTGTGCAATCTTTGCGATTTTTCTGTGAATCTAAAATTATCCTAACATAGAAAGCTCATTTTAGAAATTTAGGTTCCAGGGTCCTGCCCCATTCTGCTTTAGATTCTGTAAGTCTGTGGCCAGGTACAGGAGTCTCCATTTCTTCCTCCCACACACACCCCCAGTCAGGAACCCAGATGGTTTGGATGCAGACAACTTGGGGACCGCGGACACTGCTGGGGGTTTGGTTGAGTGGCGCAAGGCTGCAGAAACCTCTGCCCACTCTTTTTTTCAATTAAACAGGCTTTCTTGGATCAGCCACTGGTGCCTGCCACTAAATACACAGATTGCGGGAGTGAGTCTGAGCTACCCCAGGCAATTCTGGCTCTCTGCCCATCAAAATTGCATTATTATATGAGCTTCTGTTTAACTGTTAAGTTACAGAGTGATAATTTGCACAGCAATAGATAGCTAATACACTCCTTGCAGGCTACTTGATTCTGACTCACAGCGCCCCTAGAGGATAGAGTGGAACTGCACCATGGAGTTTCCAAGACTGTCCATCCTTACCAAAGCAAATCCCAAACAAAAATCACTGTTGGTTGGTCAATTCCAACTCACAGCGCTCCTAGAGGACATAGTAGAACTGCCCCATACGGTTTCCAAGGCTGTCATCTTGATGGAAGCAGACTGCCTTCCCCCAGAAGTGGCTGGTGGGTTTGACCTTTTGGTTAGCCCCAGAGTCCTTAACCACTGTGCCACCAGAGCTTCTGATAACCAATGATCAGCATCCCCAACCCTCTAAGTCAAAGTCTTTCATTTCCAGAGCTGCGGAGTTTGATTTAGTCTTGAAGGTGGGAGCCCAGCGGTAATAGCAGCACGAGTGCTCATTAAATGGGAGGCACGTCTGCATGGTGTGCCCGCTGCACACTTCATTTACATTACATTTTCTCATGATATAGATACATTGGGGGGTGGATTTTCCAGCCCATTTTACACATGAGAAAATGAGGCTCCAATAGGGGAAGTGACTTGTCCAAGGTCACAAGGAAGGAAAAGGAGCCCAATGAAGATCTGGGTTCCTCTGATGCCACAGGCCCTTCCCTTTACCAAGAGCCCCAACGGCTTTAAACTAACTCCTCCTCTGCTCCTCCTCCTCCCAGTTCCAGCACCTGGCTGAGATGTGGCCTCCCTGTGAACCTCCTGACACCGTTCTCTGCCCTGCTCAGAACACAACACTTACAGACAAGATCATGCCCCACTGCCACCATCTGCTGTGCTGCTCTACTCACCTTGGCTAATGGTTTGTACTCATCTGATGACGCCCCAAGCCTACTCAGCAGCCTTGATTCCACCTCTTCCCTCTGCCATGCAACCCATCAACAATGGGTAGAGTCCACCTCTTTCCGGAATGCATCCCTAGCCAAGCCATCTTTCTCTCTTCACTGTTCCCTTCTCCCTCATCCTCCAGCCCAGGCCACTGTCTCTCTTTTTTTTTTAACCTTAGGGCCTCCTACCCACTCTCCACCTCCATTCTTGTCCCCTACAGCCCACTGAAAACTAAGATCTGCCTGACTCAAGCCATAGTATTTTCAATCACCTCATATGCATGTGAGAGAGCTAGACAATGAATAAGGAAGACCAAAGAAGAGTTGATGCTTTTGAGTTGTGTTGGCAAAGAATACTGAGAGTACCATGGCCTGCCAGAAGAACTAACAAATCTGTCCTTGAAGAAGTGAAGCAAGAATGCTCCTTAGAGACAGCTCAGGGCGCAGAAGAGTATGGAGGGATGGACACTGGGAAGAGGTAACTATGGGAAGGAAGTGGGAGGGGAGCTGTTGCATTGTAAATTTTGGTCAATGACATGAGACAAAGTATATTATGTGAACTGCTGTATGAAAAGTGAATTTACTCTGTAAATCTTCACCCAAATCAAAATAAAATTTAAAAAAAAGAATGCTCCTTAGAAGTGAGAATGGCCAGACTTCGTTTCACCTACTTTGGTCATGTTGTCAGATGGGACCAATCCCTGGAGAAGGATATCATGCTTGGGAAAGTGGACGGTCGACAAAAGAGGGAAAGGCCCTCAAGGAGATGGAATGACACAGTGACTGCAGCAGTGTGCTCAGGTATAGCGGGGATTGTGAGGCTGGCGCAGGAACCAGCAGTGTTTCATTCTGTTGTACATGGGGTCTCTATGAGTTGGAGACAACTTGATGGCACATAACAACAACAAACAACAATAGCCCATCCTCTATAGCTGCCAGAGAGGTTTTTTCAAAAGTATTGCAGCTGTGTTGGCCTCCGACTTCTGGAGACCCCATGCACCATATAAGGAATTGCTGCCCAGTCCCACGAGCGGTGGTGGATAGGGTCATTGTGATCCCTAGGGATTTCTGATTTTTCAGAAGTAGATCACCAGGCCATTCTTCCTAATATGTCTTAGGAAGCACCGCAGAAACCTACTGAGATGACAGCAACACACAGGCCTCCACTGATACACAGGCAGTGGCTGCACATGAGGTTCATTGGCTGGAATAAGCCTGTGTACCCCACGTGGGAGGTGACAATTCTACCACTGCCCCCAGCATGAGCTCTAGTAAGTAGCTGCTTTACACATGCTTGCTGGAAGGATGGATGAGCTAATCTGTCCAGCTCCCCACCAGACCACCCACTCCTCCAGGGCAGGAATCCATCTTCCACTTCTCTGTTGTGCTGGCACGCACCAGAACTCAAAGCCCTCATGGGATCAATAGGCCAGGGAAACAGAAGACAGCTTCTTGAGAACCCAATTTAATAAAATTTATAAGTAGACAAGTACAACAAAACTCACAACGACCTAACAATGTACCAGTCACTGGGAGATGAGGGCGAATCCTTAGGGCAGGGAATCTGCCCTGGAGAGGGTAGTCCAACAGGCCAACTTTCTCCATCTCAGCTTCACCTAACTAATACAACCAAGGCCCGAACCTGAAGACTGAAGTCCATGAAGATCTAACTTTCTCCCAGCCGCCCGCCCGCCTCCCTGCACTGGAAGAGGTGGGTGGAGAGAGGGGAGAAGAGAGGTGAACAAAGGGAGTGGGCTTTGGGGTGAGGTTGGGAGAGGCGATGAACAGAGGACCAAGGGGGTGGTCTTTGGGCACCCCAGGGGTGTCTGACAACTGCCCTCCTCTCATCTGCTTGCTGGCTGGGATGTCTCTTGGGGAAGCAAAGGGCTGGAGGGCACCCCCAGCAGTGGGGCGATGTCTCCTTCGGATGGGGCCTGGAGAGCCTGTTGGGCTGACCACCTGGCCTCAGCACTCCAGAGGGCTGATGTCAGCCCCCATCTCTTCCTCTTCCTCCTCCTCCTCTTCGTCCTCCTTCAGCTGGAAGGACTTCTCCGCCCACTTCTCCTTGACCATGGGCTCCATGTGGTCCTGGAGCTGGTGCCGCTTCATGTGGGCGTTCCGACTCTTGATCTTGTCGAACACCCTACAAGTTACCAGTGGGGTCAGTGTCAGCGTGGAACAGGGAGTCTCTCAGGGACCCCAGAAGGGCAGTGACTGACTTGGGGCTGAGGCTGGGGTCAGTGTGAGCACCGCACAGGAGCAGGGCCGAGTACCTCTCACACTCTGTGCATGGGTAGACACCCTGGCTCTCCATGCTCCCTGGCGGCTCAGGTGTCCTCTTGGGGCCTATGTTGGGGCTGGAGGTGAGGATGGACTCCGTACTGTAACTCTTGGTCTTTAACTCGGGAGTTAGACGGTGGCTGGGTCTCTCCCGAGGGCTGCAAGTGGCCTGTAGAGAGGGTGAAGGCAACATGAAGGTGCTGACCTCCCCTCTCCTGAGGGACAGGGGGATCAGAGGACACAAATGTCCACTGCAGGCAAGCCCTCCTGCAGGAACACATGTCCCAGCCCTCCAACCTGGATCCTCAGCAGATCTGGGCTCCAGACACCACCCCCATAGCCACTACCTTCTCTTCTGTCTTCTCTACCTCCTCCTCTGGCTCCCTCTTGACCCTCTTGTCTAGCCCTGGAGCTCGGCCACAGTCAAACTTGATCCTCCTTTTCCAGATGTAATAATACTCCACACACTGGGCAACCGTCTTTGTCTGGATCTATGAAAAGAAGTACAAAGCTAGCTGGGATGATGCCTCATCAGCAGCCACGGGGGCTCAGCCCCCTACCCCACTGGGCCAGTGCCACTCTTTGAAAACCCTTCCTTGGATGTCTCTCCACTGGTATTTGGTGTCCCCTCCTCCCACGCCTGCTACAAGGGGCCAAGAATCTAATGTCCCCTTGATGGTAAAGTACTGGCAGGAAAAGTAGTCAATGTTGGTCAGAGGGGGACATCTGAGTGTGCAGTTTGATCCCAGGGCATTCTGACCCCACCATGTGTTCTTCCCTCCCCTAAGAAGGGACCCCACCACCAACAACTTCTGTAAAATAACAGTAAAAGGAACATGGATAGGCTAACCACACTGGAAGGAAGAAAATTTCTCAGGATGCCCAGTGGGCTACTGAGCTCACTCCAAATTATACTTTCTTGATGCAAAGTTTTCACCTTTAATAAATTATAACTAAGATGTGTGTATTCACAAACTAGGAGTGGAGATGAGACATTCTCCACCCAACTAAAAAATATCACTTAAAAAAAAAAAAAAAAGTCGGACTTCTACTTCCAGCCAAGATGGGGCAACAGGAACCAGATTTACCCTCCAATTCAAAACAACAAAGAAAAAAAAAGCCATGAAAACAATGGCTGGCAAGATAAGATGGTGGGCATCAGGCAAGAACAGACAGTGACAGACAGGAAACCCAGGCAGTAAGCTCCCTGCTGCCCCTGCTCACTGCCTGGAGAGAGTTTCCAGTCGGGCCCAGGGCAGGGAGTCCATGAGGAGTCCAGCAGACTCTCTGAGCTGAGACAAAGCAGTGAGCCTGAGGAGACCATGCGGCTCAAGTCCACAGGACAAAATACTGGAGAAAAGTAAGATGCACAGAGGGAAAAGCATTGCACACAGGGCCAGGAAGAGTGCCTGCTCCCACCGACCAGTGTAGAAAACCCTGTAATTCACAGGGCATTGGGCAGACTACTCAGAAGGGTCCTGCCTTGCTGTGAGCAGTAATTACTTTATAAGAAAAAGCAGCTCTGATATGATCTAAAGTATCTTAAAAGCAATGCCCTAAAGGATCAAAGTGCTGTAAAGTAACTATGTCCCAGAAAAAAAGCTCAAAAATTAAAAAATAATCCACAGCAAGCTAAAATTCACAATGTCTAGCATCTAGTGAAAAATTCCTAGACATGCAAAGAAGCAAGAAAATATGACACCTAATGAAGAGATAGGCAGCCAATCAAAAGCAACCCAGAACTGACAAAGATGTTAGGATTGGCAGGGAAGGACATTAGTGTTATTAAAACTGTACACCATACGCTCAAAAAGGTAAGTAAAGACATGGAAAACATAAAAAGACCCATCTAGAGATGAAAATGACAGTGTCTGGGATAAAAAAATACACTAGATGGGATTAATAGAAGATTAGACATTACAGAACAAAGACTAGGGAACTTGGAAGACACGGCCATGGAAACTATCCAAAATAAAACAGAGAAAAAAGAACCTATTTAAAAAAAAAAAAATCATCAAGCAGTGGTACGACCTTGAGAAGCATAATGTATGTGTAATTGGAGTCCTGAAAAGAGAAGAAAGTGAAAGAAGAAATATATGAAGAAATAATGATCAAATTTTTCAAAATTTAATGAAAACGATAAATCCACAGATTCAAGAAGCTCAACAATGCTCCCAAGCATAGTAAATATGAAGAAAGCTACACAAAAGCATTGTTGTTGTTGTTGTTATATGCCGTCGAGTCAAACGTGACTCATAGCGACCCCTCCTTGGGTTTCCGAGGCAGTATCACTACGGAAGTAGGATTGCCATCA